GAAAAAATTCTCAAGTGATTTAGTCCACATCCTGCCTCTGGCAAAGGCAATATCTTTCAGTTTTGAAGCACATCTGTGACTATAATTTTTCTATTACCACTTCTTTCCCTCCTGTTCCCATAAATAGGACTATCTTGGAGTCTCATTTGATGAAGGTCATTTTAACTGGTGGATTCCTGAGAGATCTGCTTTGCGTGAAATATCAATCGTGTGCAAGGGTAAAATGGCAAATGTAAAATGTCTTCATCTCACTTTAACAATTCAAACATTTCCAGAAGCCTAAGTCATCTAGGTTCTTCCTATATTATTTCTATTCCCTCTTAATTCAGCCATTCCACTTCCATCATAAGTCAAGGGACCTTTTTATCAAGAGCAGCATATGTTTTGCTCTGTTTCGTGTTTTTATCTCCATCTGGTGAATGATTATGATTTTCCAGTAAAGATTTATAATAACTTCTCAGATTAATTCAGATATTTTGTGTACTTTGACAAGAAGAATATCATTATTTCCCAAGAGTGGACGTAATGACATCAGCATAACATTTATAAAAATCTCACATGATAGAGGGCTGAAGAGTTATTATAACAGATACTGTGTTTGCTTTGCATGCGACCTAGGTTTGTCTGATATCCCCCTTGTTCCTCTGAGGCCAGACAGAAGAGATTCCTGAGTGCAGAGAAAGGAGTAAGCCCAGAGTATCTGGGGGAACAAAAAGAAAAAGGAAAAGGAAAAAGAATTCATACTATAAATAAAGTTATGAAGAGGGATCCAAATTATATTGTTAATATCAGTCTCTAAAAAATTATAGAATACTTTAATTTTGAAAGAATTACTGAATGCTTTTATATAATTCTTTTTAATTGCTATTACTCATGGAAAGGAGAATGGTTCTAACTCCCACAACTAAAACAGAGTGGTATATGAACCAAGCTAGGGAAGCTAACTTAGATTGCTTTATTGGAAAGGAAATGAGCAATGTCAGAGTAAATGTACCTAGACTAGAAAATAAAGGTAAAGAAAATGCCTGTCAGGGCAGATGTCAGATGTCAGTAGATCCTTGGCCTCCCAAATTTGAGTGGTCAGTTTAACAGAGTTTCTGAGTTTTGTTTGTTTTGAGGATACACCTGGTGTTGGTCAGGGCTAATTCCTGACTTTGTGCTCAGGGATTACTCATGGCATATTTGGAAGACCATAAGGTGTGATGGAGATTGAACCCACATTGGTTGCATGCAAGGCAAGTTCCTCATCTGCTGTGCTATCTCGCTAGCTTTAAGACAGAATTTCTGGTAATGACTTCCTATTTTCAATATTTTGTATTTCCACAATGATTTTACTGAGGAGCCAAGTTGGAGAATCCTTGCCTCACCCTTTCTTATAAATTGTATTCCTTAATCAGGAGAAATAACAAATTAAGCTATTCATATTTTGTTCCAATTAATTCATCTCATAAGGGGAATGATCTGGAAAAGAAGAATCAAACATCAATTACATGTTCTCAGGTTTTGGTCATTAAAATATGGGAGAAATAGGTAAGTCTGAGGGAAAGATGGCGGCTATAAAGGTGTCTTTTTATATATTAGTGTTTCTGAATCAGGGATCATATAAACCCACATTAACTTCACCAAGATATTCCAGTGGCACCCATGGAAATCGATATATTGGAGGCACAGCATGAAACTAAGAGCCAACCAATATGGCAAGGGTGGGAAAAACACAAAAGGGAAGTAAGATCGGAAGGATACCACGGTCAGAAAAACTATGAATTTTATAATGACTTGTAATGAGTTGCTCATTTACCACTTCTCTGAACACCAAGGACAAGTAAGATTTATCACTGAGGGCTGGAGCCACAGCACAGAGGGTAGGGAGTTTTTCTTGCACGTGGTCAACCGGAGTTCGATTCCCAGCATCCCATATGATCCCCTGAGCACTGCCAGGAGTAATTCTTGAGTACAAAACCGGGAGTAAGTCCTGTGCATCACTGGGTGTGACTCCAAAAGCCCCCACTCCAAAAAAGATTTATCACTGAATAGCACTCCTCTAATGTATTAATCATACTTCTAATGTCTGTAGATGGATGCTTTAATATCTATCAAGTGGCCACTTGCTGTTCCCTAGTAACTAATTCTTGTGTTCCTGCAAAATATCTTGAGACTTCAGATAGCCCCATGTCAGAGATCTGAATGGCCAGAGCAAATAAAATCTTCACAGAGGAACCACCTCAAAACCTGCCTATCTAATGCTAAACCTGTTTAGCAAACCCCTGCCAATTGCCTCCCTGGAAATCATAAAAAAGAAATGTTCCTCCCCAACAGCTTCTGCTGAGACTAGCTTCCCCCTGAGTGACCTATGTGTCTGCTGTGTTCTATTCAAGGGGCTGTGATAGGGTAAGCCCTTTTGGAAAACAATATGGAACTTCTAGAAAAGTTAAGAGTTGAGATTCCATGTGACCCAACAATTTCACTCCTTGGCATGTACTCCTTGGCATGTACTCCGAGGGCCCCAAAACTAGTCAGAAAAGACACTTGTATTCCTATGTTCATTCAGAACACTAAAAATATTTCTTTGGCTTGGCAAGAGGCAGATAAAGAAATTGTTTTTGAAAATGCATAACTTGGATTTTCATAATGGGAAGTTTTGCAATGCCAATGAAGAATGCTGAATTCTAAATTGGGAGTATTTTAAAGTACTTTTATTAATGTTATAATGTAATCTCATAATTTATAATTACAAGAAAATTGAGGTCTATCAGACTTAACAGTGACATGGGCAGTTAAAAAATTAATACTGTAGATAGGAGTGATAATTCAGGGTCTGAATTATTTGAAGTATGGTACAATTTTTAATGTACATTAATTATATCAAAAAGTGAAATGGAGTAAAATATGATCAGAACAGAATTAGAAATAATCATATTTTATCATAAGGGACTTTAAGAACACCATAAACTTCTATGGTAAATTTTTGTTAGGCTGTTATTTTGAATCCAATGATCAAATTTTGAGATCATCTTCTGTACCAGTAAATATAATAGACTGTCCTTTGTTTTCATATACAATTGCTTTATTTTCATGTCCCTGCAACTGGGAAATTTCTTGTGCAAGATTAATTACCATGATGATATAATAAAACACTTCAGTTTATTAGTTTGACATTGTTTGTAAAATTTCTTTTCAATTTTTGGTAAAGGAGGATTCAATGTCAAGATGACTTGAAACTATATTTCTCTTCTTTCAGTATTTTGAGTAGATCCAATAACTGTGTCATAAACATTTATTGAACGGAGGCATGACAAGATCTTTTTTATTATTGGCTGTTAACATCCTTGTCATATTTAATGTTTCACCTGGGAGCTGGATTTTAGTCACAGTTCAGTCTTATGATTGTCTACCTTTCAACCTTGATGCAAAACTAATGACTTCTTATTATCTTAGTCATAAATGAATCTTCAAAAGACATAAGGGACTTTCTGTAATCTTGTTAAGGATTCCTAGCAAGAAAGGTATTAACTGTGAAGTTTGTTCTATTAAATTTAATGACTTAAAACATTATTTTAATCATGCATGCCATCTTTCCAAATTTTTCACTAATTCTCCTTTGACGCTTTTTGGGTACAATTAAAGTATGATAATTTTAATAATCGAATCATCTTTATTTGTAGACCAGGTTATGGGTATCAACAAAACACTGTGAAAAAGATGCTCAATGTTCTCATGTAATATTATTACATGAGTAGCGTGTAATAATAAGTCTTGTTCATTAAGTAATATTTTATAATGTAGGTATCTTCCATTCTTCATAATATTCATAAAAATTCTCCATAATCATTTTTGGTTTATTCCATGTTTAGCTAATAGAGTTCACAGTGCATGCAGATCAAGTCCATAGAAATGCTAAAATGACTAATGAGTGCAAAAATTCAGATTTTGTTTCAAAATCTTTATAAAATATATCAACAGAGGTTAAGAATATTTATATACTAAGTATCTTAAGATTTTAATAGAATGTTTGATTATTCTGACTTCTCTTCTAGTAAGTTGACAATTGTTCATTGTTGCCTGTGTCCAGGGTTGAAAAAATGTATTGTGGTTTACTTTAGCATCATCACAAGAGATAACTAGGTAAACATCAAGCAAAGTTGATAAAAATTACTTTAATAACCTCATTAGAGGGTTATTTAACTAGCTACTATAAGATTTTTTAATAAGTAAACTTTACCTATTAAGATGCTTAGTGGATCTCAAAGGAGTTTAAAAATAACTTGCATGAAAGGCACAAACAGTGGCAATTTGGGAATATAAATCACACTGCAAAAACAGATAGGTTTCGGAAATCTGAGAGTATTTTTATACTCCTCTGTTTTTCTTTGTTTAAATAACCTGCCATTTGTATCCAAGGGCATTTCTGTTCATCCTTGTGTGGGTGGCATAATTATATAGAATATTTCAAGTTAAAAAACTATATAAATAAATGATAGATTACAGTTGGAAATTGATGTTACCTATACTTAGGATCTGATGAATATACTTGTATTAAATGTCAAAAATAGGATATACTGCTCGATTTCTAAAAATAGGATCTAATAATGTGAAATAATTAAGCTTGTAATTAAGAATAGAGATACTCCTCATTCTTTGTCTTTTGAGTGAGTAGTTTGGATGAGACTTAAAAAGTCTTAAAAGATAAGTTTTGAAGGTTATGCCCTTTTTCAATAGGGTTATAAAATAAATAGGTACCGTCTCCAAAAAAGCCTTTAGAAATAATTTTTTTACTAGTCTTTAGTATATCTTTTTTATCCATTAAATTTCACATTCTCCATGCCTAACTTTGCATCTCTGTTGTTGAAAATATACTCCTATTACTGAGAAAATGTCTTATTTTTCATGCTTGCAAACCTAAGTGTTACATTTGTCAGTTTTGATGATATATGCATTAATATTTACTTATTAATATTTTATCATCCAATATTATGATAGATACTATATAAGACACAAAAATCACACTTCCTTAGCAGGGGAGATACCATGACCATGAAGGTGGTTTTCTCAGGGCAAGGCTTACCCATCATACTCAGGATGTGCTGATCCCTGAGATTTCCCCAAATTCCCAGAACTTGACTGCAGAATTTGTGGTAGTGGGGAACCAAGTTCACACTCTTTCCTGATGGGGGAAAATTATAGGATAGATTCAATGTTCCAAGAGTTCTTTGAAGAAAGGAATCCCATCTTGCAATTGTCTGGAATAATGTTGATTTAATAGACATTGATTTGACTTGACATGAAAATGAGATAAAGACTATATTGGTGCCAAGTTTGATGTCGAGTTTTATGATGAGACTTTCTGTATTAGAAATCATGATGATATTATATCTATTTTTGCGTACACTTATGCATTTTTGGATTTTGAATGACACCCAGAAGTGTTCAGAGCTTATTCCCTGCTCTATATTCAGGGATCACTCCTGGCAGACCACAGAGGACCATTTGCAGTGTTGGGGAAATGGTTGGTTACAGGCAGGACAAGGTCTTACCTCTTGTACAGGTACTATTTTCTGATTTTTAACTGAAAAAATGCAAACTATATTTTTGTTCATTTCAGGTCTATACCTGGTGATACTTGGAGCTTCCTCCAGTTAGTGACTGGAGGTGACTCCCAGTATGCTTGGGGAACCCCTCAGTGCCTGAGGACGGAATCTGAGCCTCCTGCAGACAAAGCAGGAGCTTAGTCAATTGAGCAATCTCTCTAGTCCCTAGATTATTGATAATATTTCACATTATGAAAAATAAATAAAGAGGGAGTGAGTTCATATCAAGAATGTAGTTATAATGCTGGTGCAATAGTATTGCAGGTAGGGCACTTGCCTTGCAAGTGGCCGAACAGGGCTGGCTCCCTGGCATCCCAGATGAGCTCCCCAGCCCTACAAGGAGTGATTTTTGAGCACAGAGCCAGGAGTAATTGTTGAGCAACTCTGGGTGTGACCCCAAAACAAAAAATTATAACTATAACAATTATAAAGCTAATATTTGGTATATTTTATTATATTTTTAATTGGTGGGTTAAAGCACAATAATCATTTGTAATACCTTTGTTTTTTCAATTATATGGATTTTAAAATTAGTATACTATACAATTTTTTAAAACAAAAAATAACATAGTATCCTAAGTCACTAACTCCTTAGAACAATTACTCGTCACTTGTTTCTGAGAATTATTTTCTGACAATTTTTCAGAAGTTATAGATATGCTGATAGATTAACAAATAGGCAATTTCAACCCACAGATTAAGTAAGTAATTTCAATCCACAGATTAAAACAGATGATAAGGAATCTGAGCATAGTTTTGCTTCATCATTTTCCCTATATGTACACAAGCTGATTCTAATATAATAAGACATCAGCAATTGTCCACCATTTTGGAATTTTGGGTCTTCTCTAGAATTATGGGTACGACATCAGCATGCATAATTGAATAGATTTTTAAAAAAATATTTATTTTGTTAATTTGTTTAATTTTTAATTGAATCACCATGAGATACACAGTTACAAAGTTGTACACTGGTCCTTTCACCAGTGTACATTTCCCACCACCATGAAATAGATTTTTTAAATTGCAAATTAAAAGAAGAGTTTAATGTAATGTATATACTACTGCTACTTGATTTTGCTGTAAGGAAAGAAAAGGGGGGAGAAACATAGTACAGATTGCAGAGTTGAGTGTTGGGCTAGAAAGAGCTTAAAAGATAGAACACACGACTTTTACTAGCTAATGTCATTTGCAGTTCTCTGACTTGGTGATATCTTCTCTCTGACCTTTGACTTTTTGTTTTTTGTTCTATTTCCTTTTAAGTTCATTGGGCAACAAATTTCTTAGCAACCTTTGAAACATTTTCATCTTTCTGAACATTTCCAGATTCTGCAGCTTGAAGTAGTTTGAATTTTGAGAGCAGCCCTTGGTGACTGGTATGTCAACAAGATCTGACAGTAGGTTAGTTATTAGATTTTCATAAACTATTCAGATATAGTCATTTTCTATCTTATGGGAATGACACTGTTATAGAATTTACTCCTATCTATTTATGCTAGTATTAATGAATTAGAGGTAATTGTGTCACTGTGAGATGATAATATCTTCCAGGTTTCTAATTTTTTACTTTGTGCCAGTAAGTGTAAATTATGTATTTATACATTTGCTTAGTCAATACTTATGAAAGTTCTAATATTTCCATCCAGTTTGTAAGTAATGAAACTGAGTCCAAAAGTTAAAATTCCTAATATAAGATCTTAAGTTACCAAGTGTGTTTTTCAGATCTGTGAGTTCTGTGTGATTTTCAGACCTGTGACTCTGTTTTTGTCTAAATTCCATGACACTAATTCTTTGCCTTAACCTCCTTTTTCCTTTTCTTTCTCCCTGAATAACAATTCCACCTATGTTAAAATTTCTCACTATATGGTCAACATCTTTTGCCCTTTATTTTATAATTCTTTTTGTTACCCTTATGATATATATTGCTTCATTTCTTCTAAACCAGTTTCTAGCTCATTACTTCTATTTTTTCAATTTGCTGTCATCTATGCCCAATATAATTTTTAATATTGCCTGTTATACATTTTATTTCTTTAAGTCTAACTTCTTTCTTTTCTGGTTTAGCTGTCATTTATTTATAGGTGTTTATTTCCTATGCACAATTTCATTCTTGTCATTTATTTAAACATAAGATGATTGTTTTATAATGCTTGATAACTTCAACAATTAAGGTTTGTATTACTACATTTTTAAAGCATATTTTAAAATTTGTTTTTCTTGTTCATGGTTCCTCAGGTACATGGTTATCTTGGTGGTTAATTTGCCTGAGGGAATATGTCTGGGAGGCTCTTCAAAGTGTTAAGGAGAAAATATGTCTCCTGGATGATTTGTATTTACTTCTTGCAGACACAGGTGGATGTTTTGAGATAGAAAACTTATTAAAGCAGGTCTAAGGCATGTGTTTCCCTGACTCTGGGTATTAAAATCACACATTCTTCTCTAATAGTCTTAGTGTATGAAGGAAAGGTTTTGCCAGTTTCGTTTTTCATGGTTTTACATGCTATTTTCAGAGGTAAAAGCCACCTCCTGCAATACGCTAGAGTCCTAGAGGTGGTGGGAGAGAGAGAGAGAGAGAGAGAGAGAGAGAGAGAGAGAGAGAGAGAGAGAGAGAGAGAGAGAGAGAGAGAGAGAGCAGTTGTGGTTCACTTTCCTTCTATGGTTTTGCTTTTGGGGGTTTCTCACTGGGGGAATATTTCCTCTCAATTTCTTCACCCAACGAGGCCATAAAACAATGCTTGTTTACTAACTGCATAGATTGATAGTCTCAGGACAAAAATGATTTTTAGTGCTGATGTATGAATTATTATTGTAGATTAGAATTTTTCTTTGAGAATGTGACCAGGTTGTATTTTACTATTTAGCTTTTCTAAGCTTTACTGTTTATGAAAAAATAAGTATTTATTACATTATCTGTTTTCACATTCCCTAACTCTTTACACCAGAAAAGAAACTTCTGCTTAATTCTAAGGCTGGGGTTGGGTTCACAACTGATCAATGCCTTAGCTATAATAAGCACCCTATTATTTCCGTTTTTATCCTATTATTTCCACTCTACCATGATCCTTATTGATCAAAATTCTTATATTCTTGTGTCATTTAAAAACGAAAATCCACAAGAATTTAGGATGAATAATACTTTCTCAAGATACTCAGTAAAAACTTACTGTTCAGACTATACATGTCAAACAGAAATAGGGTTTTACACTTGAAAATTTAAGGCTGAAATGTAGTCTAACCTTTCAGGACCTTGCATTTCTTTTAAATCATCAGATGCCAGAATTTTATTAGAGTTTGATGTGCAAGTGATGGTGTGCTTAATATGTTATATGAGTACGGTGTCCTCTAATGCTCCCTGGACCAACATAAAAACAAAAAGTTGCATCTCATTGGAGCCGTTGAAACACAAAAAAATTAATAAATAAGAATTATGGCACAATAAAATTCATCATTATGTGAGGAACTGAGATAGCACTAAATGTCTTTGGAAACTCATATTATTCTTTTGTTCTTGTTATTTCTATAACATTCAACCATTGTAATGAATTCATTAAATATTTCTAAGAGGTGTTTTGAATGCTAATCCTTCTGTTCTTCTCCAGGAGTAAATTCAAAATTTCTTTTTACACGGTGCACTACCTAGATCTAACATTGCCCCCAAATTTGCTGATGCTGTTTCGATACTGCTCACCATTTGACTCTGTAGCAGATACTGTCAGGCCTGTTCTCCAGCCATACCCATGCACAAAGCTTTTTTTTTCCAGCTGCTAGAATGTGTGTCTGAGGATGTTCTCTGGCCCTGTGAATGTGCTCTTCCTTGAATCCTGTTATTAGTGCCAAGGAATTTTTCCTTCCCAGAATCAGTGTTTAACTAGTGATTGTTAGAGCCTACCTAACCCTCTTCCCTGTTAACCTCTAGGAAATACATCTGAGGCTTGTGATCAACACTGTTTTTCAGGAACAGGAGTGATAGTACAGAGGGTAGAACATTTAACTTGCATGCAATCAATCTGAGTTCAATCACCGGCACCCCAAATGGTCCCTGGGGCCTGCCAGGAATGATCTCTGAGTAGGAGTAAGCACTACGGAGTGTGGCATAAAACTCCAAAATAAGTAAAGAAATAAAACATCGGTTTTCCAAATTCACCAGTGGGCTGAAGCCGCACTTACTTGTCCATGGTGGTCATTTGCTCGGTAATGAACTCTTTACTTTGTTGTCTTCCATTTTTCACTCCATTCTGAAAATTTCCTGGGATCACCTCCCTAAATACAACATGTGTCTAAATCTTTGTATAGAGTAAGCCTCCCTCAAACTACGTTAGTATTAAAAAGCACCGATTAAACAAGATATGCTAACTTTATCTCTATCTTTTCACAATCATTACTGTTCACAGATATTTAAATTTATTGATGTCTTTAAGAGAAATAAATGGAAAATAAGTTTGTTAAATGCTTGTCTAGTTTGTTTAAATTTATAGAGTAGTAGTAAAAAGATAATAGGTTAAAGATGTAATGCTATAAAATAGTTGCAAATATTTAAAAAATAAAGTTACAGGGGCCAGAGTGATAGTTTAGTGGGTAA